AGTGTGCGAGGCCAAAACTGAACCATGGAAATGTCATTGGACACAACTTTGACACAGAAGCCTAAAGTTATCAGGTATCTCACGCCATCAAAACAGTGATATGGAAAAGAGCAAAGCCTCCACATGGAGCTGATTCAGTCCATGTCATGTTTTTGTTTTGAATCTATATGAACTACTCCGACTGTGGTACTTCTGATATTTATGTATATTACTCTAACACTCATTTATTCTAATTACTGTATGCCCTGGGATAGATGGTTGGTGATATTGTGAACTTCTGTCCACTCCGTTTGAGCTCTGAATAGCCCTTAAACAAACATTCTTATACTGTATTTTTTACTGTATCAGCTGTATGTTATGCACTGAACTCAAATAAACTCAAATAAACAATCTGAATTGAACTGATCTGAACTGAACAAAGACATTCATGATCTATTTTAATTGGTCAGTTTTGAGAGCTGATTTTCCTGCGTGACCACAGACTCCCCTTTCGATCGGTATTTAAGGGTGGGAGCCGAAAGGAAATTACAGCAATGTGATAAAAACATAGAAAGACAGCGTTGGAATTTGGGGCTGTGCTGCATTTTGACTTTACAAAAATAAACCCAAATTCTTCAGAAATATAAAACAAACATTACATAAAAGCATCTCAAGGATTATGCCAAAAGACACACAGCAGGGGTCTGTTTTGACTCATACTGTTTTGCTTGGATCTGATGACGATGATCTGGGGGAAAAAACGAAATCACTGCTCATAAAAACACGCACCAGAGGTAAAAATCCTCCAGCGATAGAGTATCTCTGAGCATTTGGATGGGACAATGTGCGTTCATGAATAGCACATGCTTATTTACTGTACAGTAGCTCCGGGATAGTTCCATCTGTAGAATCACATCCGGAGATGGGGTCACAGACACTGGGATCACTGCTCCAGACGGGTTGCCCCACTGGAATGAGAATAATGGGTCAAATGCAGATAATTTTTATTCTGGATTGTGTGCAATATGCTCAAATAGTGTCAGGGTTTAGGATTATTTCATGTTTTTTGTTGTAATTTGTTACCCCTTAATTCTACTTCCTGTTTGAGTACCTGCCCTGCCCTCATGAGCATCAACAGTGTCTTGTTGGTCTTGTATCTAAATCCTGCGTATTCTCTTTGTGTTGTTGTCACTGGATTTTGATTTTGTAATACATTTGATTAAATTCATTATTTTTCCAGTTCTGCATTTTGGGTCCTCTTTCATTTCTCCACATTACAATTTTTTCCGAGAATCTTTCTGCCTATGACACATGAAGCTCCTAAGAACTGACTATGAAGCAAACCATTTTCCTGCGTTTTGCCAGACATGGGTGTGTTATGTACTTTTATTGTATCTGGCTTTATTGAAAAATGTGTGGTGCTAATTTGCGTGTGTGAATATTGTCATGAAAAGACGGTTTTAAATTTCATCTAACAAACTGGCAATCCAAAAGAAAGGCTGATTCTGCTCTCTGATCAGATAAACTGCTTGAAAATTGTAAAGTAAACTACTATTTAAATCCTACAAGAACCATACACAAGGCAATTCAAAGTGCTGAACAAAATAAGAAAGCATTAAAATCATAAATAATCACAGAACATGAAAAAGAAAGCTAAAAATGTAAAATCCCTCAGTTGTAGCACAGCTAAACAGAACCGTCTTTAACCTGGTTTTAAACATTGTCAGAGAGGAGGCCTGTCTCACATCTTCAGGAAGACTGTTCCAGATTTTAGCAGCATGAATCTGAAAAGCTGCCTCCCCATGTTTAGTTCTGACTCTGGGCACTAACAGGAGTCCAGTCCCTGTGCTCCTCAGAGTCCGGGCTGGTTCATATGGGACTAACATGTCACTAATATATTTTGGTGCGAGGCCATGGAGAGACTTGTACACAAGCAGAGCTGTTTTAAAGTCTATTCACTGAGCCACAGGATGCCAGTGCAGAGACCTGAGGACTGGACTAATGTGGTCGTACTTCCTGGTTCTAGTCAGGACTCGAGCTGCTGCATTTTGAATGTACTGCAGCTGTTTTACAGCCTGTTTGGACAGACCTGTGAGCAGGCCATTGCAGTAGTCTAACCTACTGGAGACAAATGCATGGATAAGAATCTCCAAGTCTGCTTTAGACACTATGTTTTTGATCCTGGCAATGTTTTTTAGATGGTAAAAAGCTGCTGATTTTACTGATTTGATGTGGCTATTAAAATTTAAGTCTGAGTCCAGTATTACCCCTAGATTTCTGACCTTGTTTGAAGGTTTTAGGGAGAGAGACTGTAGGTGACAGATGACGCTCTTTCTTTGTTTCTGGGGACCAAAGACAATCATTTCAGTTTTGTCTGCGTTTAGCTGAAGGAAGTTGTTTTGCATCCACTCACTGATCTGTTGGATACAGTGAAGGAGTGAGTCCACTGGTCCATGTTCTCCTGCAGTCAGTGAGACATAGATCTGAGTGTCGTCTGCATAGTTGTGATAGGACACTTCGTTTCTGCGTATTAACTGACCTAACAGCAGCATGTAGAGATTGAACAGAAGAGGTCCCAGGATCGACCCCTGTGGGACTCCACAGGTCAGGGCCATATGATCTGAGACACAGTCTCCAATCTCCACAAAGTACTTCCTGTCTTCAAGGAAAGACCTAAACCAACTTAGGGCGGTGCCAGCGATGCCAACCCAGTCCTCTAGTCTCTGTAAGAGGATCTCATGGTCGACAGTGTCAAAGGCAGCACTCAGATCTAACAGGATTAGGATTGAGACTTTGCCTGCGTCAGTGTTCAGCCCGATATTGTTTGTTACCTTGACGAGAGCAGTCTCAGTGCTGTGGTGGGGTCTAAAGCCGGACTGAAACATATCAAATGAGTTGTTGATTAAAATAAATCTAGTAAGCTGTAGGTAGACAACTTTCTCAAGGACTTTCCCCATAAATGGCAGATTTGAGATGGGACGATAGTTGTTAAGTACCGTAGCATCCAGGCTGCTCTTTTTTAGCAGGGGCCTGATGACTGCAGTTTTCAGGGCCTTTGGGAATATTCCAGAATGAAGGGGCATGTTTACTATCTGTGTGAGTGAAGGTAACAGACTGCTCAGAACAGACTTGAGAAATCTAGTGGGTAGTACATCCAGGCTCCATGTGGAGGAGCTCAAACTGGAGATTATCTCTTGGACAGTTTGATCATTTACAGGTGCAAAGTAAGTTAGCTCAGAGAGCCTTTTTGGCTGTTGGATGGTTATCTGTGGATTGGAGACAATGGCGTTTTTGATGCCTTGAACCTTGTCATTGAAAAAATTGCAAACTCATTGCATTTACGTTTGGAAGAAAGCTTAAATGGCATCTGAACAGGGGGGGTTTGTTAATCTATTAACTGTTGAGAACAGAACATGTGTACTGGGTGGCATCTCTGGCCACCCCCCCAACCCAGAAATGGATTATGGGGAAGAAAATGGATGGATGGACAAGACAAAATTTAATAATGTTTGCTCCTAAGTCACAAGGACTGAAATGATTTTAGGGCTATACAAGAAAAAAATGAATTAAATTTAAACTATTGTTCAGAAAAGGTCAAACATGATTGATATTTGTTGACCTATATATCTGGGGACACGTAGAAGTCATTTGAAACACATTGTCCCTTTAAGAAGCCGTAGTTTTGTGTGCGACAACGGGGATTCATATGTAGATTCCTGCACATGTAATGCCAGGTGACACAGAAGGAAAAACCAAAACACAGGACACTTACACTACTCCAGCACCAGAAAGCACCTCCCTTACATTTTCAATAGGGACAGCCAGTTCTGTGTGACGTCCAAATATGAGTCACTTACCCAAAGGACGAGGGGAAATATTTGGGGGTGCGGTGTAGGATAACTTTTTCCTTTCATTTGAGCATAGAGAGTTTTTTGTGAGGTAATCTGGGAGGTTACACTGTGGCCATGGCTATTTTAACACTTTGTAAAAGAAGTTAATTGGAAAATGTGTATACCTACCTCTCTGAATGAATACAAATGGAAATAAACCATTTTTTGTATAAATAGTGGTCAGTAACATCACTCTGGTCTCACCTGATGCTCTTGAGGCTCTTGGGGGCCTCTGCCAACTGTAAGAAAACAAAGTCCTCCTTTGTGTGCTCTTGTTTACCAAAGCAGTGTTCATTAATAGAAGGTCAGATTGAGCCATTTCTGATCTGGCTGTTATTACTGTAGTTCAAGCGAATTATTTCTTATCTTATTTTACATATTATGGAGTATACATTGAACAATACAGAACTGTCCTGGTGGATGATCCGCTTATTTCTTTAGTCCTGCTCAATGTTCGTCTGGAATGTTCCACAGAGGCACTGACCCTGTGTCCTTCTGCTATAGAGACAAGAAAGGGACTTGACTGTACCAAGTTCCAGCTCATATCTGTGGAGAGGAGAGCCAACCCCATGTTTTGTAGTGACATAATGAACATGTTTTCCCTCAAACTCTGGAGCAACAATTAGTAAGTTTGCACGTTAAAACTATAGTGATAGTGATGAGAGCGAGGAACTAGACTGTAGTGAATTGATTTTTATTATTTATTCATTTTTAAAGTTAGGTACCTCAGCTTTAAGTCAATGTAACTGTAATGGTTTAGAAAATCTCAGGATGTGAGCCATTATCACAAGTCATTTCTGAAATATGATTTGCAGCTTGACTGAGTGCATAAAGCTGATGATAAACAGCTGAGAGCTTTAAAAAGCCCGGACTCAGCGAGAGGGAGATCAGATGTGAGAGGAGAGAGAGAGAGAGAGAGACAGGAGTCAACTAGAAGCATGAGGGTGCACCGGGCTTCAGAGTCAGAGCAGTGGGGCTTCGGGACGATGGCTGGTCTGTGATGAGAAGCAGGTTTGAGGCTGTATCTGTGTCTGTATCTGTGGAGCCAGATCAGGGACAGACCAGAAGAATAGTATAGAATTGGAGCTGAAGGGACAGAGCAGAAGAAGAGAGAGGAGCTGAGGGGACAGGATGAGGGTCCGGCTGCTGCTGCTGAGCCTTCTGTGCGGCTGCATTAGACCCGGGACGGCCAAATGTCGGAGTCGAGGTAAGAGTTTGTTGTTTAACCACTGAGTTCGAAGTACCTATTGGATTCTTTTGTTCTGTTTCATTTAAAGCTGGGGAACTGGCAATACTGGCAATGGCCATACATTTTGTTTGAAAGATTGACTTGTAAAAGCACGATGAACAGGGCACATCAGAGTTGAGTGGCAGAGTGATTCCCCTCATGGATCCATTTCTTGAGTTTTGAAAGCTAGGTACCCCAGATTTTATGGGACTTTAATATAGGAAGATTTTGTCTAACTCATTTACATTGGTCTCAGAGAGCAGAGAATACAGCTATTTCAGTTATATGCTAATGTTTTAGTTTAGGCAAACGCAAGTATTAAATATATATGTATACATAAGGTTGTTATGTACATCTCATTTTATTGAGGGTTGATTCTGTTGTTATTGCAGCTGCCTGCTGATACTTTGCTACATTAATACAATAGCTATTTAGCAAATAACAAAATCTACAACAAATGAAACTAGTAACACTAATATTGGACAAATGCAAATGGATATAAGTAAAGCCTTTTTTCTACTCTCCATGTTTTATTATGACCATATACAATTAGTATGACTTCTGCTGCCAACTGTACTCACAGCTTTATGAGCCTATTGTATTATTGTGTTATTTACCAGCCCAAAGACATAAAATGCTTGTGTTTTGAGTTTCACACTGGTGGGCACTGGTGGAGAGGAATGTTGGCTCCGCAGGAGCAGAGGAGGAGGATTCCCACTTTATTGTAGTTGTATAAGTCCGGAGGAAGTGTAGGATAAGAATGTTTAGCATTTTGAATATTTATATAAAGTAAAGGAGGTGAGAAACTAAACGTTGTATGAGCAACATTCAACAATATTATGTAACATCCTCATTATAATTCGTTATAGTTGAACTGGTGATTCCAGGTCCAATATCCCAGTATAGTCTGATTTGTTTGTGTTCAGGTTTCAGGTAAGAAGGGGTGACTACGAGAGTGAAGTTTATCCTCCTATGGATGGAATATGATCCTGTTGAAACAAAATGAAAATGAAACCTTTTTTCTGCTTCTGTTGATTAAGGCTATGCCTTATCCCCTAAATACAAGTCATGTGCAAGCTCAAAGGTTAACTTGAAGAGTGAGATTTGCCCTTATTGCTTTGGCTTCACACATCTTTAAATGATTACTTTTGTACTTTGACTCTAGACCTGTTCCCAGCTGCAAATGGTCGACTTAAGAGGAGTTTGACTTCTGTAGAAAATCCAGTCTTCCATCGAACCTCTAGTGACGCACATCTCCTGTATGAGGTGAGAGAATACAGTATGAACAGTGTCTTTTCTGGTCTTTTCAGTTATCTTTTCTAATGATGTTGTTTGGTGTCATGTCTAGATCCTGATGAGTGGGATACATTTTGAACCCAGTGGACATTTTTCAGTCGATGATGGGGAACTTGCTTCTCTTCGACAAACAAGGAAACTGGAGGTCATTTGTGAGGACATTGTTCCCCGAAATCTACCAGAAATTCTGCGTCTGATCTCACTGCTGTCACAGACAGAGGGACATCTGCATCAGGAGGAGTTTGAACGCACCCTGCTGACTTTGGTGTACACTACGCAGAGGATGGCCAACTCCAGCAGCACACATCAGAGAGAGGCCTGGGCTCAGTCTTTTGTTCATTTATACAAAGCTCTCAAGCAGGACTTGATGGCATAAGTGTTATTAAACCAGTCAACATTTTCTACAATATACAAATGTAAAGATTATAATAAAACAATCTAGTCAAAATTCTGCAGTATTTTTGTATTTGCAAAATATAGAACCATTTAAAATGAGAGGTACTGTTCATACATTTAAATATACATTTGATTGGCGCGTTGAAAGAAAACATTATTTTCACTTGTAGATCATCAAAAACACAAAATCATTTCAGCAAAAGAATTTCTTTACAGTAAAAGGAATCACCAAAAAGAGGCAACTATACAGGTTTGGTAGTTCTTCTCCTTTAGCGCATAAGAGGTTGTATGTGATACATGCACCATGTTGTTGGAATACAGACTTTGACAAAGGTCGCCTCCAGCTGCCTAAAGTACACATGTATGTGTAGTATGTTTAGTCCCAGCGCTCACAAAGGCACTGCGAGGATGATGGGTGCAGGCTGTGGGTGTCCCAGATGGTGCTTTGGCTCCAGGGCATTGATGTCTGCCCCACTTCCCTCCATAGAGCGGGGGACAGAGGGGGGGCAGAAGGGCAGGTACTGGAGCCAGGTAGAAGCCAGACGACTGTTGATGCCAAAGGGAAGATTATAGACCTCTCCACTCTCCAGAGTGTTACTCGAGTCATCCTCGTGAGCCTTGTTCCAGGCCAAGATGCCTCGCTCTTGTTTAGAACCTGATGGGCATAAATTATTTTCTGTTTATTTTATTCCCTGAAGAAAAACAGCAATGATAAAGCCCACCTGGTATTGTATTATCAAGGACGAAGCCGAAGAATCCCCCCACAAACATGCTTGTGGTCAGGAGCACCTGTAGGACCTGGTCCAGCTCTATCACACCTGAATGCAACAGTGAAATAAGATTTTAAGACATTTGGGGAGGATCAAAAAGATTCTTTGCTTTAATACCTGTAGCCAACGTGTTTGGGTTTTTCAGAATCCAGTTGGGTATTACCAAACCAGAAAACATGGAGAAGCCAAAAATAAAAATATTTCTAGATGAATTCATGTCAGCATACTAAAAGGAAAATGTTCAGAAAGATACATATATTAAGGATAAGAGCGATAAGAAAGGTTAAAACTTGGAATGCACCTGTAAATTTGAAACTCCTGCAGCTGCAACCACACCAAACATGACCATAAACATCCCGCCTACCACAGGGGAGGGAATTGTTGTAAATATAGCCCCTACTTTTCCAAACACCCCCATAACAACCATCAGGACTCCACTGGCCACTATCACCATGCGACTGCCAACCTGAGAAAAATAGAGAAGATATTCACACTTTCATCATATAATATTGTATGTAGTACCGAGGCAGACAGAGACACTTTACCTTTGTTATTCCAAGAGCACCAACATTTTCACTGTAAGAAGTGGTGCCGTTACCAGTGCCCCAAGCTCCAGCCAGCAGACAGCCTATTCCCTCAACACCAATGCCCCTGTTTATTGCATGTTTGGGTGGCGGTGGGGCTCCAGACAACCTGGCACAGGCATGGTAGTCCCCAACTGACTCAATCATAGAGGAGATGACACCTGCCAAGATGCCCACCACTCCAGCCAGGCTCACTGTGGGCATTCCCCACTGACCAGGGTAAGGAAAACTGACCCATGGAGCCTGGGCCATCACATCTCCTTTTAAATCTGTTCGGGCCAGATAACCATATTGGGCCGGGTCCGTGGGAAGGACGTTGTATTTGGTCAAAATGTAGCAGATGAGCCAAGATATGGATGCTCCAAGTAAGACCTGAAATTAATACACAATAGATTTTAGTTAGAGAGTTTATCAAAAAACAAATTCTTTAAAGTTATTTTTACGTACAGGCAAAATCTGAAAGACATATACGCGAGTGGTGTGCAGTTTTTTGGCTTTGCTGTAGTACGGACAGGGCACCGGGATGTGCCTCAAGTACTGCGAGAAGAGGATGATCAGAGATGTTGTCCTGTCAGAAATGTTGAAAAACGTTAAAACAACAACCAGAGACCTGAATGTATAAGTGTAATATCCTCAAAGTTTTCACCTACATGGCAGAAATCCCCCAGTGATTACCAGCATTAGTGCCAGCAGGATCAAACAGAGACAGTCCAATGAGTGAGATGGTGGGAGCGATGGTCAAGGGTCCAATAAAGCGCATGAAAAGGCCGATGAGACCAGAAAATCCCACAAACACTTGGAACAGCGAGCCCACCATGATGGACCCTTGAAGCTGGAGAACATGAGCGGAACGCATTATGTATGCTGAAAAAATAAATATCAGTGCAATCCGTATAGAAAAGTATTTACTGTGATGAAGTGAGAACATGCTCTAGAACAAAGTATGAGTAAGCATGAAATAACTTTAGGCATGGCTATTGCAGAGACAGGATGTAAACAATGACCACTATGTATAGCTGAGGTCATTTGTAATCGTCCAAAAGAAAATAAGAATCAGATTTAATTCATTTTTTCCTGTGTTGGCAAACAGCGTCAATATAAATATGCCGGAACAACAGCTAAATTGCATTCACACGCACAGCTAAGCAACAGTACAAACAATAACTTGAAAATAAAGAATTTAAAAGAGAAGAGAAAGTCCAATTTTTCACTTTCACAACTCAAAAACCTGACAAAAAAAACTTTTGCTTCCCACATGATTAGTCAATGAAAAATTCACAAGAATCTTAAATGCATTAGACCATAATTTCCTTTCAGGTAACTCTATAAACTGTGACTAAAAATGTCATGTGGATGTGATTTACTTACTGCTCTCATTCGACTCTGCCAGACCTCTATATATTCTGGGGATGAGGTATTCACTAGAGTTGCATTCTGGGTCCAGGAGGGACACTTCCACTCGGGCATAGACAGCATGGCCATTGATGGGGCCAGCAATGTGAATGTGCCACCTTGTAGGATTGGCAGTCTAAAGAAAAGAAAAAGGAAGTAAAGCAGAGTCAGTGGACATATCTCTTTGAATCCCAGAAGTTACATCTGCAGATCTAAACCATGTGAGGTCGGGAGTCTCCTATTAGTGAAACTGACCCAGAGAGTTAACCCTTTCGGCGCCAAATTAGCAGGTCTGTCGCATGAGCTCTTGGATGACCACTTTCTGTCCAACATTTTTCTTTTCATGATTTGCTTGTATACATTTCTGTTATTGATTTTACTGGTCTATCTCTTATACAGTTTCAGGGTTCCACTTTCTGCCTATATCACATCAAATATGTAAAAACTTCTAAGTCTAAGGGGTTGGGTCAATGATTGGAACTTGTTTTTTCTATCAGTTTGAGAGTGGATAATAAGTCTTTTGTTACCTGTGTGTTTTATTTTTTTGTACTAGATCGTCAGCTATGTGTGGAGACAAAAAGCACCAGTAATACTAAACTAGAGGAATGTACAAGATTCCAAAGTAAATGGCTCACAATTCCTCCCAAAATCCTATACCGTGACACAGTGAGTAATTTCTTGAATCACATTAATATGGATCTTCCTGTGTTTTCTGTAATACTTTACCCATGAGTAGACAAGCATTTCAAACATGCAGCTATAGACATGCTTCCAATTCTTCCCTGATAATCTCTTGACAGCAGACTATGTTATACTCAGAGTCTACTGATAAAGCCCACTGTTTCATTTGTAGGTTAATCAGTAAAGCTGCATGTTCTGCTCTACTTTAATCACAGAGGGACCCTTTTGAACTAAATCCAAATATGCTCTTGCTGCTACACAGTTGCTTGTATGCTCATTTGTGCACTGGGCAAAAAGTACATGTTTTTCTTTTATGTGATGATTGAGGAAAAAGAAACGTTTCAAGAGTAGAAAGTCTTCACCTTATCCCGATTGTAACCTGGAGTAAAGTGCAGACGCCAGAGACGAAAAAGATGGTGCTGATGAGGTGGCTTTGCGTGAGACCATCGTGCTGAAGACACAAGCCTTGGGACAGGATCATGGGGATGGCGATGATGCCTCCGAATGCAGTCAGACAATGCTGGAGCAAAGAACACATCAGAGCTGTCAAGGCGAGGCACGGCAAGTTTATGTGTATATTACAGTTTGAACACAAGGCAACTCAAAGCGCTCAACAATACAAGATAGAAATATTCAGACAAGAGTGAAGATGCCATCCTTCAACTTTGTGCACAGCTAAACAGAACTGTTTCAAGTTGTATTTGAACATTGACCAAGTTGAAGAAGCTGGGGGGCAACAGTGGCTCAGTTGGTAGAGCATTGGCCTTTGAGCCTGAAGGTTGTGAGTTCTAGCCTACTACAAGACCTACTTCAAGACTCCCACTGATGTCTGCTGTCATTGTGTCCTTGGGCAAGACAGTTAACCCCACTTTTCCTGAAGCCCCTACTGATCCACCTGCAGGAGGATCAGTGAGGGGCTGGTGCTATGTGTACTGGGAGCAGCTCTGACTGACATCCCCTTGACCCAGATATGGATGAAGGGGAAGAAAATGGATCGATGGATGGAAAGTAGAAGCCAGTCTCACATTTTCAGGAAGACTGTTCCAGACATTAGCTGCATCAATCTATAATGCTGCGTCCCCATGTCAAAAATACACAAGTAGATGCAAACATGTCGTTGCAACCAACAAAACAATGGACTGTTCCTGTTTGTTCATGTTAAACAATTGTAAAGATAATATCTATGGTGTGTGTATGTAATCTGATGACATGGACAAATGCAAAAATAAAATGTATGTAATTTATATAGTGCTTGGTTTTTTGGCTGTATTTTAGAGATCATTAATTGGACTTTTGTCTTTAGTGGTTGTGTGACTCCATTGCCATTGCCATCATAAAGACAACAGATTCTACACTTCTGACTCTTCTGAAGTTTCCATCTCCCAGTTCTCAAGAGCATGCACGGCCTCTTTAGCATCAATGACAGCTTGTAGTCTTTTGTGGTTGTTGTGGATGAGATTCTTTATCCGCACTGTTGGTAAAGTTGACCATTGTTCTCGGTAAAAAGCCTCCAGATATTATTATGAAACACTGCAATGTCCTCCTCTATGGTCTCCTTTCCACTCATCTCAAAAACCCACGCACACCCGCTTCAGAGACCACATCACCCCCATCCTTAAACAACTCTACTGCCAGGTTAGGCCCGCTATTATCTCACTGTCCTCTATCAACACTGTCCGCTGAATTCCTCACTCCCATCAGAACAAAGTGCCGAATCTTGAGGGACAGAGCCTTGGCTGCAGCTGCCCCCACTCTCCGGAACTCACTCTCACAACACAATCAGGAACTCGGACTCACTTCAGAACTTCAAATTCACTTGTTCAAAACTGCATATAGCTGAGATTATTTGTGTTCTTCCAAAAGGAAATTAGCATCCAGAAAGAATCAATTTTGTATTTTCCATATAGTCTAAATGCCTGCTCTGGGAGTCCTAGTGTTTGTGGCACTGATCTAGTCTTCACATGTACAGACTATTTTTCCTCTATTTTTTTCATTTTTTTACAACTCAAGATGAACTAAGCATCCCAAGCATGTGAGCATAACTTCTACCCATCATGTGAGTTCCTCCTCGTCAGATCAGGATAATTTGCACACACAGATGCACGGAGATAACCACCTCAGACAACCTCCCTCATGCACGGAGCACGCACCTGAACGCCCAGGATGATGCACAGGTACCAGGGAGGCACGTCGGTCACGCAGTAGGCCAGCTTGTTGTTGTCCTCCTCCTCGGAGCTGTCGGCGTCGTCGTCAGGCAGATCACGAAAGCGTCCTTCAAGCTTCAAACAGCCATGACACATCAGTCACATGAAAAGTCAACATACGGTGGAATATGTGGAATGATGCGGTTCTGCGGACTCTTTCCCACAACAGTTTCTCACTCAAATCTTTCAAATGAGTAATAATGTGCGATGTGTATCTGTAGATCTCGCACATGACTGATTTATGAACTTATGGTATTGTCCAAGCTGGAATCAAATAGATGTTTTAACTAAACTAGTAACTAACCTTTTTATTTTTCTATTTTCTTTTATTGACTCATTCAGCAGTTCTTACATTAACAATTTACACAATGTTAAATTTGTCTCTTGTATATCAGAACTTATGCATTTGTTTACACGTTTTTTTTTTTGGTTCATAATAAAACAAAACAAAAACACCCAAAGAACAGTTGAGTAGCTAATAAAGGGATATCACAAGTGTCCTTAAGTAACTTTTAAGCCACAATAAACTGAAAAATAATACTTTTGCTTTTACATGCATGTATTTTTGGCCTCTGATTCATCAACAGATCCTCTTTTTTAGAAACAGGGAAGTGAAAACAAGATTACCATCCATGCTCGGAACGGACGGGTCAGGTCTCTGCCCAAAGAATTCAACAGTGACTCACAGGGCTCAGTGGACCGAAGACAACAACATACAGTATTCTTCTTACTGGATATCATGTGGTCTGATTTGTTCACATTTTACATTTACAAAACTTTTTCTATTGCGACAAACAGCATTATTATCATTGACATTATTATCTATGAAAAAGTTAATTTAACATACACTACCGTTCAAAAGTTTGGGGTCACCCAAGTGTTTTCCATGAAACGTCACACTTATTCACCACCATACGTTGTGAAATGAATAGAAAATAGAGTCAAGACATTGACAAGGTTAGAAATAATGATTTGTATTTGAAATAAGATTTTTTGTACATCCAACTCTGCTTTCGTCAAAGAATCCTCCATTTGCAGCAATTACAACATTGCACCAAAAACCAGACATATGCAGCTAGAATAGTCATTTACCACAAAAGCCATGTATAGAGTTTAAAGTTATCTACAGTGCTTTTCCTTCAAAAATAAGGACATTTCAATGTGACCCCAAACTTTTGAACGGTAGTGTCTATTCATTGAAAGATGCGTATTGGTCAGATACTGTATAAAGTTTCAACAGTCAACAGGAAAGTATGACAGTACATAATTTGACTGTTCGGCTTGATTAAATATTGTTCACCTCTTCCGGCTAGATAAAGGATTAAGAAATAGTTAATACGTTCTTGATGAAAGTTATTTATTATCTTGAAAAAAAATGCCAATGGAATAAGTATACATGTTTTGGTTTTACCTGAGACTAAGACAAGACTAAGAAATTAGAAAAACAGTGGTACTCTATACCCGAAAGGCTAAAACTACTGTAAAACATTGGCAAGGCAAGGCAATTTTAATCATATAGCACAATTCACACTAAAGACAACTCAAAGTGCTGAATAACACAAGATAGAAAAATGACCTCAAACCAAAATACGTTTCACAGAATGAAAGCAAATATTAGCTTATTTATTGTATTTTTCCCCATGTAGCGGCTGTGTAAGCTGGATTAGCACTAGCCCTGACCTAATTATTGACTTGAAATTGCCACGGCGTGTTCCTAGAAAACTTTAAAAAGCGTACTCACGGCAAAACCATAATTGTCGAGGCCATTGCTGTCCTTCTCTGGGGCCATGGTGGAGGAGTCTGCCACACACAAAACTAAAGCCACATCAGTGAGAGCAGTGAGGAGAGACACTGGGAGGAGGGAGATTAGACACGAGACTGGTTTTGCATTTGTCGAGAACCACACGCATTCATGTGAGCCCAATTATATCAGTGGGAGCAGCTGACCAACCAGAATCCAGAGGAAACCAATATGCCCTTTAGACCATTCTCTCCCTGCTAACTTATATCACTACAAATTCAAATAACTAATATTTTACATTAACCGGGCCTAGATTGAGTTGAATACATTTATAAAGGGAAAATCACATGTTGACAGTGTATCACATGCACACAGCGATCACTGCTGATGACTGGACGCTGTTAGAATGTTAACTTTGTTTACTAATCTGTTGTGCGCTCCCTCAAATGATGTTAGGAGAAAGTCACATTATTAGCGTTTACAGACATTGATAAAGACCGACATCTATCTAATTACAGTAAGTAGGTCTCGATCAGGACGTTACAGAAAGGAATTGGTCTGTGAGATGCATGTGTCTTGGTATGACATATACAGTACAAATATACATGCCTATAGGTTATGTTTTTCAAATAGTAGCTTTGCGGGGCTTTGCGGGGGCAGCGGGGGCTTCGGGCAAAGTGGGGTTAAGTGTCTTGCCCAAGGACACAACGACAGCAGACATCAGTGGGAGTCAGCTTTGAAAATGTATTTATTTGATTTATTTATGTATTTGACAGGGACAATGTAGTCATATTTAGTTACAGCTGATGCAACACGTACAGAGAGTGTAGTTAATGCTATTTTTCAACTCCTGTCCCTGGTTGAGCGTTTCCCTACAGTGCAAAACATTATACAGACAGAATAAAATCACTGCTAACTTGTTATAAAACTTGTTTAAAAATGGGTCTATCACTGCTTACTTTTTACAAAATGGATCTATCACTGCTAACTTGTTTAAAAATAGGTCTATCACTGCTATCTTTTTACAAAATGGGTCTATCACTGCTAACTTGTTTAAAAATGGGTCTATCACTACAAACTTGTTAAAAAATGGGTCTATCACTGCTAACTTGTTACAAAATGGGTCTATCACTACAAACTTGTTACAAAATGGGTCTATCACTGCTGAGTAGTAGTAGTAGTAGTTATTTATTTATATACCGCCTTTCACAGACCAGATCGAGTCACAAAGCGGTTTACAATTGTGGGCATTTTGTCCTCTCACTCCACACAGAGATGGGAGCAGGGTCGCCAGTACAGGAGGCGCATTCCAGATCTATTGCACATATTTTTAGTGGTAGGGGAAACCGGAGTACACGGAGGAAACCTACGCAGACATGGGGAGGACATAAAAACTCCACTCAGAAAGGCCCTGGCCGCCTGGGATTCGAACCCAGGACCTTCTTGCTGAGAAGCGAGAGTGCTATCCACTCAGCCACCGTGTCGCCCAAACCTGTGCTAACTTGTTACAAAATGGGTCAATCACAGCTAACTTGTTACAAAATGGGTCAATCACAGCTACAGCTAACTTGTTACAAAATGGGTCAATCACAGCTACAGCTAACTTGTTACAAAATGGGTCAATCACTGCTAACTTGAGGATTTTTTCAACCATTATTTATCCTTCAAGAAACTACATCACACCAGGTAAGAGTAAAGGTTAAAACTCTGATGTTCTGGGTTGTTATCAGCCAGTAAATACTTTTATAGACATAAATTGAAAGGGTCAATCAGGATATCAGCTTGACTCATTTTAATACTCGATCCAACCGACAGTAAAAAACAGTGCATCGTTATCAAATCAAGGTTACAACAGAAGTCTATATAAGGCACAGTGCAACACAAACTGACTGTATGCAAAGACAAACAAACGCAACAAAGCTTTTCTGCACATTGATTTTCAACAGTGAGAGAGCTGCAGTCTTATAAATCAAGTTTGTGCATGTGTTATTACTTTGATGGGAGACCTCTCTGAACACCGTAGTGCCACAGTAGGGCGGCTGCGGCTGTAAAGTGCCAAATTGTTGTTGTGTCCTCGGGCAAAACACTTCACCCACATTGCCTTGAATGAGTCTGGTGTGTGCGTGGATGGTTGGTGGTGGTCGGAGGGGCGGATGGCACATACTGGTTGCCTCGCTTCTGTCAGAGTGCCCCAGGACAGCTGTGGCTACACTAGTAGTTTATCACCAGTGTGTATGGATGGACTGAAAAATGACATGTGAAGCGCCTTTGAGTGTCCGGAAAAGCACTATATAAAACCGATTTATTTTCATTATGACATTTATTGTTAACTGGTATTATTTTTGTTAACTCTATAAGTTTTGGTATATTTATTATTATGTTTCTATGATGGATAATGTGAAAGGCCTGAAATGAATAAATAAACAAACAATTATGACCCAGTGTGACTTCCTTCTGTCATTTAAGATTCCTTCAAACACATATATAACATACACGTATCCTTCAAGATGAACGAGCGAGAATAAAACCTAATGCGAATGTTTCAAATAGGAAATGAATCTCACATGGATCTGGTGGAGCACAGATGAGGCTGAACGAGGCCAGGTCGTCTGCTGTGCATGTGACAGGACTCCGCACACAGAGCCAGGTAACATCACATTTGGATGGAAGCTAAGGTTCTTTAAAAGTGTCTACAAATGACAAAACATAACACGTATATAATGTTTTATTCACATAAGTGCTGTTTTTTTAAGAGCAGAGATTTGTTAATGGAAAGGTCATTGAGGTTGCGACGTTGCAGGAGTGACACTCATGAGTCATGTTCATATAAAGCATGTCAAATCTCTAAAGTGCAACGAAATGTTAAGAAGAAATGTGCTTTGTGCGTTATTGTCCTGCCGATCTTGATCCTGTCACTTGTTGTCACATGATCGCATTAACACAGAGAGACGGTGAGTTTTTAAAGTGGAAGTGTAACAAATGATTATATGCGATTTGTGTATCTTATCTATAATAAATACAAAATCAAATCAATATGGAAAACATATATAAAACAATATGAGGCTTGTGTACGGCTCTTTCTGCTTTCTGATTGGCGGGTAACCAAAACATCAACATTGTGGTGATCATTGTTGATGATTTGATTGTAAATTACATCAGCAGAACGTTTCTTATGAGAAAATTCAATCATGGATTTGAATATTTATAATTTGGACACACAGAGGGCTCTTGCGATTCAAACCTCCTTGTTTTCCTCTTAAAGTCCCGTAAATAATACATCCCTTCAACACCAGAGCGCCTCTGGTCCTTGTGCCTCACTGCTGTTGCTCAGTGCTTGGCATGTGTTTCGCCTTTGATCTATTTTTAAAAGTTCCTACGGCTTAATGCAGACAAGCACCGTGTTATACCCATGGACTGTAACACCAGACCATGATGACCAAGCAGCGCCCACTGGCCCACGGTTTGTAATTCACTGTTTTGGGAACCCTTGTATTTCTCGCTTTACAGTCTGTTTCTGTCACTTATTGTGGCCTTTAGGACAATAACTCGTTTTGAAGTTTTTGTTGTTTTTGTTTTCTTAAATACTGTGTGTTCTCTATCGTATTGAGACTATCTCTCCACCCAGTTACATATTTAATATGTACGGGGGGACTGACCCCACGCGGGGAGCTGGTATTGCAGTGGAGAGAGCACGCTGGGAGGGAAATTCGAAAAGTTCTTTTTCGGCGTCTCCTTTTGTTATTTTGCTGTATGACAACTTGTCTTGACGGTCGTAAGTTACGACTTTGCACTTATAACGAACCTTGGAGTGTTGACTTTACTTAATATAGTTTATTAGACCTCGGGTCATGTCCTCCGCGTCAGGGGGTGGTGAAAGGGATAAGGTATCGAGAAAACGGGAAGACTCTTTAGAAAAGGACGAAGGAAGACTGCTTAAAATGGCTAAATCTGTGGCGGAGTTTAAAGTGATTTTCAAGCTGAAAGAGCAAACCGGTGAGGGGTTCAGGGCTATGAACCCTCTAAAGATCGCTGAGTCATTAAGTGCAATCGGGGAAAATCTAAAGGCTCAAACTCTTGGAAATGGAGCTTTGTTGGTGTTTTGCTCCAACAAGGAGGAAGTGGCTAAGGCCCAGAAAATTGGGAAGATATGTGGGAAAAAAGTGGAAATGTCTCTCTCTGAACAAAGGGATGTGATCAAAGGTGTCATCTATAATGTGGCTGCAAGTCTGACTGATAAAGAAATTGAGGAAAACTTAAAAGGAGGAGAAGTAGTTGAAGTAAAGCGTTTCAAAGCTCGTGAAGGGAGTAATGGCAGTGCCCCAGTTTTGATTACATTTAAGGGAAGCAGTCTTCCAATTCGTGTGTTTCTTGGCTGTATGTCATATCAGGTTAGGGCCTATATTAGGCCCCCTCTGAGGTGCTTCAAGTGCCAGAGGTTTGGCCACATGGCAGCTGCCTGTAGAGGTGACAGGAGATGTGCAAAATGTGGGGGGAATCATGATGTCTCTGGTTGTGATGGCCTTACTCTGAAATGCTGTAACTGTGGGGGAAATCACATGGCGTCATCTAAGGAGTGCGGGTATTTTACAAAAGCAAAGCAAGTACAAGAAGTTAAAGAGCAGCACAAAATCTCATACGCCGATGCTTTAAAAAGAGTGGAAGGAAGGGTTAACCCTAGTGTGTCCTCTAGGACTGTTGTGGGAGGTCCTGCTGTGGCACAGCAGGTCTCACCTGCATCTGTTCCTCACAACTGTTTTATGGTTCACAAAGAGTCGTTTCTGGCCTTTATAGTTGATGTTCTTTATTCTAATAGGGGAAAAGGCTCCAGAGCTGATATTCTAAAGTATGTAACTTTGGCTGCCAGCAGATTCTTGGGGCTTAAAATTTTTACTCCCCAGTCGCTGTAGGATTTTATGGCAGTAAGTCAGAGGAGTCAGGAGGAAAGGGAGTTTGAGATGGGAGAGTTGATTGATTTGGATGATGGGGCTTTTAGTGATGAGGCTTGTGATTAGTATCTTTCTTATGGTTTACATTTTGCAGTGGAATGCAAGGAGCCTCATTGCAAACGGACAGGAGTTTAAAAAGTTCATTAGGGATTATCATTCACAAC